GGCGGCGATGCTTCCTCGGGCGCTGGGCCAGCCGTGCAGCCTCCCTGGGCAGCGCTGTGGGGGTGAGAGGTGTCGGGGTGTGCTGCTCTACCAAGGACCTCGAGGGTCCTGATCTTCTCCCAGTGACCGACGGGGACAGGCCTGCAGCGGGTTAATCTTTGGAAATAAGTTTTGAGAATGGTGGCTAAAAGCTGCTGTGTTAGTAGGCAGGTATTAACACAATAACAGTATGGTAACGGAATTAATATTAGCTTGCACTTAAAAAACTTTGTAAGACTTTCCGACAATCATGAGAAAGTTTTCCACGGATTTCAATGTGTAGCTCCAGATGTGTATCTGGCGCATCTATTTTACATATTTATTCTGAGACCTGTAGCTCATTCAACCCTTTAAGATTTTGCCCCAAATTGCCCAAATTGGTGATACAATTTTCATATGTGACAAATAAACACCACATCTTGCACAAAAAGCAATATTTAAATGCGAATTTTACATATGTTTTAATGGCACACGGCTTTGGAAAAAATTACTGAAAAAGTCATATGCTTTATACTCTGTTTCCTCTTTCTTGGGCAAAATCAGTTCACTGCTTAAAAAAAACCATTCTCAACCAAAGTTCTGGCCCTTTGTATTCAGGCTTAAAGCAAAGACATCAAAAGAATGAGAATGGAGAACTGGGGTTTTTTAACCATTTTTAGGAAAACGGGTACCACAAAGGTTTCTCTGATCTTATAATTATAATGGGTACTCGGATATTGTGGTGCTGGATTCATTATTATAGAATAGATGTGAATACAAAAAACAAATCAAGTTCCTGTTTAACGGCAGCTTACAGAAAAAGCTAGGTTTGTCACTAAATGTATTTATTTATTGACTGAGTTTGTTGATCAGGATATGACTGTAGAGATGAAACATCTAACTTTCAAAGTCATTCTTGCAGGACACAGACAGGGTTCAATCACTCCATGTACATTTTTGACATCACTGCAATCCACGGTCTAGGCTGCATAACATAAAAGAACATACATTGCAAGAAAGATCTGGTTTTCCTTTAAAGGCTTTCACGCTAGGGAAAACTTCCAGACATAAACACAAATCACACACATGTTTTCTCATCAATTTACCAAGTATTTTAAATTGGAGCAAGGCTTGATTTCTTTCACAACCAGCTTTGTTTTAATGATCTTACAGTGAGCATCTCAACGGTGGATGATTGGAGTAGTATCTCATTCCTCCCTGCGGCCCTGCTGCAAGTTAATAGGAGTTACATGAGCAACTGTCGGGCTGACCAAACCTTTGATCAGAAATGAGAGCATGTGGTGAGCGATGAGTGCTTCGACTGCTCAGAAGCAGTATGTATGGCTGCCCTCTGTGTAGCAGATGATTTCAAGGCTGCCCCCAGCACCGGGCTCACCAGAGTGCGGACAGGAGCCCGCAGGCACTGCCCCAGGCGCGGCAGCCCCGGCACGCAGGGCCCTGTGTGCTGAAGCCTGCCTGCCAGGGAGTGTTGCTGGCATGCAGGTCTGGATAGTCTGTCTGAAGGCAGCTTCCAGGCCGATGATAACAGGGTGGGAAGTGAGATGCAGTGACTGTGGTTGCTAAAGAGGCTGTTCTTGTATGTGGACACTTAAAAGAGTATGTGGACACTCTAAAATTAGTGTGAAAATAACTACCGCTCCTCTAAAATGATTACTTCTGTAAAGTTAGGATGATGAATTTCACATGTCACTTTTAAAGATAACCTGCAAATTATTATTTTTTTAAGAATTATTTTTTCGTCATTTTGTGTAGAGGAGGTCTGAAATGTATGAACGTTTTAAATATTTTCTGGATGTTTTTTACCTCAGCATTTTTGGAACGTCAGATCTGGTCTTTTTGGTTTAGCTGGGGGATTTCACTGCGGTTTCAAGTGATCTTTAGACCATGGATTCTTTTATCTTTTAGAAATGAGGAAAGCGTTTACTCTTTTAAAAAAAACGATTAGTGTTTCAAATGCTCTTTTAGCAGTTAAATTGGTATTAACAAACATAAACCTCGTTAAACAAAGTTTTAGACAGCATGACTTAAAGCAAATTCCTGTTTCAATTACTTAGCTTTTTCTTGCCTGGATCCTAGCATGGCATCATTTCATGAGAGGTCTGTACATTTTCTGTTCAAGCCTCGGGGAGAGACTTCCCTGGTGGACTCGAAACTTCTCATGACAGAGGCACAGCATGCCTGGCCGGGCACAGGCTGCCGCATACCAGCCTCCTCTGTCCATGGAGGGGGAGATCTACAGAAGCCAGCTCTCTTCTGGGAACTCTACTGCTATGTTAAAGCAGTTTTTGAGCTAATAATTGCCTTTCCACTAAATTAAATGGTACTTTTTACCTCTCCCATTCCCAGAGCTTTCTTGTGTATAGAGGGATGGAAGATAGAAATACCCATTGATTTACACCATCAGTCCTACTTAACAATAGCAAAAGGAGTATGTTGTCCAAGGAAACTTGCCTTTGTATCCACGGTTTTTAATATTGATGCAGCTTTGTCGCTTTTCAAAATATAATGCCTTTGACGTATCAGTGGGCAATCTGTTCTGAGTACGTGAACCTCTATCAGAAGAAAACCTTTATCCTGTGGGACTGGGAAACTCTTTCACTGGTTTCTGTCAACAGCCAGTTATAACCTGTTAAAGTGAAAGTACTTTTTATTTGTTTTTAATCAAATCAAATAAACACATTTTCTTTGATCTTTGAGAAGTCCTTTCTTGTTAACTTGCTTTATACTTTTATGTTTTGGCATTCATTGTAAATCTAATTATTTAAAAAGTTATTTTGTTTTAAATTATTAAACCTTTTCTGAATTTAAGATAAACAGGGGCATGTTTTGTTAAAGATTAAAAATAAATTTCACACAAAACTGCAAAACGTAGCAAAGATAATAATGTGTAGGCGTCAGAGTGTTCCAAAACAAGACTCTCTAGGGGCTCTTCTGAACACACGGCTACGTTAAAACCATGTTCTGAA